GGGTTTAATATTTTTCCTAGAACTTTTTTTTTTTTTTTTTTTTTTTTTTTTTTTTTTTTTTTTATTTTTTCAAAAAAAAAAAAAAAAAAAAAAAAAAAAAAAAAAAGAACAAAAAACCAAACCAGAAAATATTCTACTTTTAAAGCTTTATGAACAAATTTTGGCTTCCTCTGAAACTGGAAATTGTCTCACAGCAACATATGCTAATTCATTAGACGAATTTCATTCATTGAAATGCGAACTAGAGTAATTTCTTCCTACTTTTGAATGTAAATTGCAATTCAGCCTTAACTATGGTGGTATTCCCATTACACAGGGCTGAAGAATGTCTGTAATATTTACTTTATTCTTGCTTTTAACTTAGCAAAATCTTTCCTCAATAAGCGTCATCTCATCCCACAGAAGCCTTTTGTGCTGTTCCTCACGTTGCAGTTTTGCCTGTCTGGGTAACAGCACCGGCTGGGCTGTAAGTCTCCTGGACACCTGGGGGGACCAGAAAGGACATATTGTGACTTGCAGTTCCCTTCTTGTTTCATTCCTGGTGGGAACTGGGTCTATCCAACCTCCAGCAGTCTAACACCCACAGAGCAGGGACCTGCTGAGGCATAGCCAATATCTGGCATATTTTCACTTTGATTTAAATGAGCAATTAGTTAGTTAATAAATAGAGGAATTTGCTTCTATTTCGATTTGCAATTTGAATTAATGATTCTTCTGGCAAAAATAAACTACCCCAATAATAACATCTTTATAACTGCAAGGCTTCTCTTTGGACTCCTTATGAAAATGCTGCATAACGTCCATCAGTACTGAGCTCATACTGAGCATCATAAGCATTGAAAGAAAGAAGAGGAATTGTGAGAGGGGGAGGGAAAGGAGAGGGAATGAAGTAATGAAGCTTGCTTCCCCCCATATATTGGATTGTTTCTTAAAAATTGTGTTGATAACTTTTTTCTGCTCACAATAATCTTGCCTGTGTATTTATGTGTGTTATTGTCTCTGCATGAGGCTAATGACTGCCTGAAATCACTCACTGAAAACAATTGTTTGGACATCCCTCCATGTACTTTAAAAGGTGATAAAGTGTAAGGTTTTCATTATTGTTCAGCTCACATCTGGAGCTGACTCCAGTCCGTGTCTGGCACTCCAAGTCAATAGTCTCACTCTATATTCCACCTGCATCTTTTCCTTTCCTGAGCTTATTCTGTCTGACTTGATGCTGCCGGGTGGAGTAGTCACAGGAAGAATTGTGTGCAGGAGAGAGTGCTCCAGTTTGTGGTAGGAAGCTGGTGTGAGGAATTAAAACTCCTGTTGTGACAGAGATGGCAACAAAAGTGGAAAACTTCCCCGTGCAGAAGGAAAAACATCTTTGTGATAACGGAGACGTTCAGAGGTGATACACGGGTATTGAGCTATGGCTTTCACACTAATTTCCAAAGTGCTGTTAATGTCAGGCTAGGTCAGGTCTTGAAGCTTCCTTGCCAAAGGCTGCCTGGTGATGTTGCTTCCCACCGCTGCAGCTGGCTGAGGGGTATGTATGTTCCCACATACATTTTAGCATAATGGACATATAAAGTGCAGCGAGGAGCAAACAAATCCTCTTTAATGCTCTTGCCTCCCATTCCAAAATCCTGAGGGTTTTGTGTGCTGATTGCACATAAGAAGGAAAACCAACTCAAGCTTCCCCCTGGCAGGGGCCACCAGAGCTGTACTGTCTGTCAGGCAGCGGGAGCTGCCCCTTAAACAACAAAAGTTCCCCACAAACTGCCTCACCCATCTCTGAAGGGCTGTCGTTGCCCAGTCTTTAGATGCTTGGGGTAAGCAAATATCTCAAGAGAAGTCTGGTATAGGTACCAGCCTAAAATTGCTTGTGGTAAAAAGTTCTGATTTGTGGATGTCACTGTCTTAACAGATCATACCCTCTCAGGAGTTTAAGAATAAACCTGGTGTACACTGGTGTGACTGGTTATGGGGTGAGGGAAGGAGCAAAGACTGGCACAGAATACAAAGAAGCTGTGTTTGAAGGCAAAGTATTTTAACAGCCTTAATCTTCACCTTTCAGTATTTAAGTCACAGTGCAGCTTCCTGCCATTATTAGAGCAATTAAAATGCAATTACTTTTTCATCTTTATTTCAGTTGTTGAATAATTAAAGCCACTTTACATCAAGGCTGATCCATAGAGGAAGGCATTTTGCATGTGAAAAGCTGCAAAGGGTGGAAGACTTTGGGGTATCAGCAGTCAGCAGTGAGCAACTGAGATTGGTAATGCTACAGTAAGCTGCCTCCTTTGCACAGCTCTACAGGATCATGGAAGGAGGCCAATTGCTGGATTTCTGTACTTTATCTTGATTAAACGGCTGTTTCAATTTGGTATTCACTCCTTTCATATTTGTAATCACTTTAAGATTTTCATTTTATAGTATTCACTTATTTAACTGCTTGTTTCCTGCCAAGTCTAAAAAAAGAAAGGCTTTTCCCTCCCTTCTCCTTTCCAAGCTGCAATAAAGGCAAGAGTTTACACAAAATTACTTCTATATTTAAAGTCTCCTGATGTAAATCTCTGATGGCTTTAAATAGTCAGGGCTGGTGGAGATTGCACGTAAGTATTGGAGTGAACGATCCTGGGCTGCTGGGGGAGGCTGGCAACTGCTGCAAGTGTGTGGGCAGGCTGATGGGTGTCCCTGGGCGTGGGGAGGGGACCCATAGCACCTGTGCAGGCACCTGTGCGGCACCACCCCATCCCCTGACCTCCAGAAGATTTTGGAGATTGCTGTGATTCCTTTCAGGTGTGTGCTGCCTGCCTGTGAAAGGGGACACGCTCCCCCAAAGGCTCCTGCTGTGCTGCAGGGTTGGGAACGGGAGAGCCAAAGCCGCCGGAGGCTCTGTGTTGTGGGCACTTCTCCAGAGATGCAGGGAGAGTTTTCCTCTCCTTGCGGGGCTCCAGTGGTTGCCAGACTGCCAGCAGCAGAAAAACAACTCCCTTTTGGTTCCTTATCACGCAAATTGAATATCATCCGCCTTGTATTTTACCCAAGGTAATGGGAAAAGAGCAGTCTAAATGTGCTGGAAAGGATGAAACCTTCTTAGGTTTTAATTCTATTATTAGAGACTAAGGAAATAAACATATTCTCATGCATTTGCTGGACTAGTTAGCATTATCGCACTCACTTTTTTATTGATGTTGAGGCATGTAGTTTAGAGAAAGTGAGCAGCAGGAAAGTTAGAAATCATCTGAGGGGAGCTGCTTTGGAGAGAATTAAAAGTACTGAGCAAATTTCTGTGGTATTGCCTGTTGGCCAACAGGTTCTGCCTGGTCAGTCCTTGGTATAAACCTGACCCAGGGACCAGGACTGTGTAACTGCAGGGACTGTGTTTTCTAGATTTTCCTGACCATTGAAAGTCTCATTTTCTTTCTAAATAAATAAATATATTCAGAAGATGTTACAAAGAGCAGTGAGTGGCAGGACTGTAGCTTGTGTCTCCTGCTTCTTACTTTTCTTAAGTTATAGTGAAAAGGATGATGAAATGAGGGACAGATACAGCAAGAGGAAATCTAAAATCTGTAGTTAGAGTAGTTTGGCTAAAAATGCTGGAGTCCAAAGGCTCCTTACAATGTGTGGGTTTTTCACATTCAAAAAACAGTAGTGCATTTGTGGCCTTGATGGTGTCTGAGATCTGAAAAACCCTCCCTATCCTTTCTATGGATTTTCTTTAGCCTTCTAAATCTCAGTGATATGAATCAATCATATCTGAGCACTTCTGTAAAAGTCTCACGTACTTCCTACTATGAGTTTCACCCATCATTCCCTTTTTCAATCAATAGAACAAAAGCCAACTTCAATCTTCATTCATAATTGGTATAAAAAACAACTTTGAGGTTTGAAAAGAAAGTTTTGATCATTTCTCCTTAACCCAATGCCTTCCCATGCCCCCTTCAATATATCTGTTTTCTGCCCAGGTTGGTAATAAGAGGGGCCTGGCAAGACAGTATGAGTTCTCATGGGGTTTCTGACACCACTGGAAGCAGCACCAGCCTTGCCTTTCATTGCAACTGAAAACATCATCAGGACATGTGTGGTCAGAAACCAGAGAGTTACAGAGATGGAAGTGTTGAATGACCTAGCAAAAGCTGGAGCAGTCATCTGAGCTGGCTCTCCAGAGGCACTGTCACCTCTTGGACAGAGGAGATGTAGTCTTTTCAGCTCTGTTTCATACCACTCTGCTCTCTTCTGACTTTCCAGTTGTACAGAGCGGCACAAGGCTTCGTTATGTCAGACACCAGGGAATACCTAACCTGAACTCTATATGGACCACCCGCTCAGAAAGTTTCATGGACATCACCAGTGGTAAGATCAATATTTAAAGGGTGTGTGGGATTTCAGGGGTGTTTGGATTTGGGGGATGGAGTCAGGATTTTCACAGCTTTTTCTGGCACAGCGAGCATCAAAAAGCATGGGCACCAGGTCAGAGTGATCTCAGGGTCATTCATAACCGTTAATGAATTGCCCAACCTTTCTGCATAGTGGAGGTTTGGCTTTGCTGTGATTTTTGAGGTGAGGAGGAAAGTTAAAGGATAAAGATAAAGGAAAACATGGAGATTTGTGTTGGGTTTGTTTTTGAGTGATCAGACCCAATCTCATACCCCAGGAGCCAGCATCTCTGTAGCCCTGCATGCTCAGAAGGGGGTGGGCACAGAAAGGGAGGTGGGATGAGTAAGGACAGTATGTCACTGCTGCAGGAACGCCAGGACCTCCAGGTGAAAATTAGAGCAAAGCTTGGATTTTTATGCTTGTTAAAATTAAGGCTAGCTCACTCCTTTGCTTGCCTTTACTAGACCCCCTGGCCAATGTGCAGTATAGCTACACAAATTACCATCGTCACCTACAACCCCGTATTTTATCCACTGCCTGGTCTTACAGTGAAGCGAGCCTGCTTAGTTTTACAGTGAAACTATAATTCTGTCCTCTATATCACAATCACTGCAGGGCACGAGGCTCCTGGAGGTGACAGAGCCGGGGATAACATTTCTTACCAAACTGCCTGGCCTGGCCTGGCTGTGCTGCAACGAGAATCAGCAACCACAGGAGGAGGGTGGAAAATTACCTGCCAAGTCATTTGGTTTCCGTACGAGTGGTCCCCTCCCAGTTCACTCCACTGCAGAAGTTTTCTCTAAACACGTATTCCTGCAGCCTGCAGCCAATTCCACTTGCTTTCCCTCCTGCAATTTCTCCTGTCCTTGAATTTGATCGAACCCAGCTGTAACTGGTATTCAGGGCTTGGAGGATATCGTTTCACGAGCTCTGCTCCGAAAAATGAAAAGAGTTGACCCATTGCTCTCCTCACCGTTCACCCCCAGCCCCAAACATGCAGCAAGGCCTGGGCTTGACTTGGGGAGTTGCTGAAATTTTATTATCTTAGGCAATTTTTCTCTGCAGATTGATTTCTGTGAAACACCTCAGGGTATTTGCTAACATAAACATTGCTCCAGTGGCACAGGCTGTTTGTTTACATCGATAGGAGGAAAAGAGCCCTTATTACTGAAATTTTGCCTCATTCCCTCAAGCTTCTCCCTGGGACCCAGCACGTAGGCAATATTGATACCTGTTTTTTTAATTTAGGGCCAATTTTCTATATAGATGGATGTGACGATGCATAAATAATACACCACTTTGCTGCACGGATTGTTTATTCCAGACCTCATTGGCATGCACAGCGCGCAGGCAAACCCAAAGCTGCTCTGGATGAGTATTGTCAGATAACTTGCCAGGTTGTTCCCTAGAGAAAATCATCGGCACACAGAGCTGGAGTTTGTAAAGTCCTTTTATTTCATCCTTTCAATGCACTCTGTGCTGGTACAGCAAAGTTCAGGCTGAATCAGCACTGCCATTAAAATTCCTTATTTTCAGGAATTTATAAGTTGCCTGTGAAAAGGAAGAGATCAGGACACGATGTGCGAGAGCGGAGCTCCCGGGATGGAGTCTTTCGCACTAAATTTTAAAAAGCAGACAAAACCAGAATGAGAAATACCCTTTGCATAAGGCAAACCGCCGTGCTGGGTGCTGTCAGGCTGCAGCCCCGGGCACTGGGGGGATCACTCAGAGCGTTTGTCCCTCTGTGCAGGCCTGTGCAGGGCCTGTGTCCCTCTGTGTCCCGCCTGCCTGTGCCCCATTGCCCCCCCTGCCCCCAGAGGGCTTCTGGGCTCCAAGAGGACACAAACGCCTGGACACACAGCTTGTTTGCTGTGGAGCTTATCATGGTACATGATATATTCTACTTAAATAGATTATGAAAGGCCCAATTCTCCTATTAATTGTGAAATTTTCAAGAACTTCATTATGAGCAGGCCTTAAATGTGCAGTTTAGTGCCTTAATCACTTGATATGCCATATGCCATTCCCCAAATCTAATACTGTGAGCAAAACCCACTCCTAAGTGCTTTATGATGAACTCAATTTACAACTGATACCAAATAATATTCAGTTTTTTCTTACTGTCTTACTGCTGGAAGTATCTATTTTTTTTTCTATGGAAGTACGTTATTAAAGCTGCTGAAATGCTGAGTGAAAGGGGCTGGATTTAGACATGTTGGATACTGAACTCTGACCTGCTCTTAGTCTGAGGGCAGTCTTGGTGTTTTCTGAAAAAACAGGGAATGGCGACCAACCCCTCTGTCTCTGCCCAGCTTGCAGAATACTAGTTTGCATAATGACAGCATATTAAATTTACATTAGGTTTATAGTTTATAGCAGTGTCTCACTGGCTACATAATGCATGGAAGCAGTCTCGGCATCCAGATGCTGGAATGGCCCATGATTTTGGAAGCTAATGTAAGTGTAAAGGATTTTCCTCAGCTGACTGCATGCTGTTTGGTGTTAGTTGTTTCAGATTAGCAAGAGCCTACCTCTTCTCCCAGCATCTAGAGATGGCAAGGGAACACACTTCTGACTGGATTAATTTTTTTTTTTTCGATGTTTATTATTAAATTTTGTAAGATGCAAGCAGAGAAATACAGACCTGAGAAGCTTAGTCAAAGCAAGCCTATTACCCAGAGGAAATTACAGCAGTCTTGCATGTATTAGTGGGGGAAAAAAAGGAAAACAAAAGATATTTTGTTAAATGAGACTTGTTTGGGTTGTCTGCTGGAATTGTTTTTTTTTGGTTAGTAAGTAATTGTCAAGCTAAGCTGCAATAACAATATAAGCATGTTAATAAGATAACGAATGCTGATGGATAGCTGATGTAAATTTAGATGAATGAGCCGACTGGCCTGTTAAGAGCAAGGTGTCCTAGTTAATGGGCAGGAAAGGCTTGGAGAAATGAATATGTAAAGTATATTGAGTGAGGCATAAGAGCCAAGTTAAATGCAATAAATGTTTTAGACCTACTTTCTCCTGCATGGTGGCCATCAACAGGGTGCAGTCCTGTGCCACCAGCCTCAGGTGAGGAGACTGCACATTTGAAGATGACTGACAGAGTTACAGTGTTCACTTCTGCATTGTGACTGGAGGCACCTGATCTGATTTTAGTAGCAAAAATGTGCTAACTCACACGGCTTGTTTTCTGATGCATATGCATGAGGAGGGCTTGGAGGGACTAGCCAATGGGGAGAATGGGAGTATTGGCTGCTTTTTATTTTATTTTATTTTATTTTATTTTATTTTATTTTATTTTATACCCACAAATCCTATGTCTAAGTTAGGCTCTTAGGTTCCCTCCACAGTCAGCAGAAACAGATAAGCTGCCTCTATGGGCAACTATTCTAGTTGCTCCTGCCTTTCCTCATCCTCCTTGTCTCAGAGCCCCTAACCAGATTAGCGAGTGGAAATTAAATCATTCCCCAGAGCTGGCCAGGTTTTCCTACCCACCCCAAATTTCTCTGGCAGGCAACTGAAGCCCTTGCAGGAACAAAGGGAGAGGCTCGTTGGAGAGTTACCACGTCAAATGGGGTACCGTCTGTCACACACAGCTGCAAACAAACGAACAAGTAATTCTAATCTAGGATAGACCAACCTGGCAGATCAACAGCTTTGCTCCTGCCCATGGCAAAATGCTCACCTTCCTTGCTGCGTGCTGAAAAGTCATGTTGTCTCTACTTTTACCATTTTAAGCAAGCTTCCCTCTTCAAAAAAATGCCTAAATCCCAGCTGGGCTGATATGGTGATCTCATCAGGATAGGGACACAAATCAAACATTAATGCTGGAAATAGAGAAGTCTTTCCCTGGAGAGACTGACTCTCACAGCCAGTGTCACAGCTGCTCTTATGCCAGCAGCACTGCGGGGCCCCAAAACTCCCCCAGGCACGGGGACACCTGATGCAAACAGTGCAGAGCCCCGAGGGGACTTGGTAAGCAGAGCTCAGGAGGCTGACAGTGGGAATAAATGTATTTTTGGTGCAATAGGTGCACTCCCTCGGCTCTATGTCAGTCCCACAGCAGCAAGACAGATACTTGGAGTGGTGCTGAGAGGGCAGTGGGGCTGAGCACACCTCCTGCCTTACCATGGACCATCCTTCTTCAGCTACCAGGGGCAATCACTTACTTTCTCCAGGCTGACTTTACTCAAGGAGAGCTGCTCGCTGTGAAGCTAGTTGTCTCCTATTAACAGCTTGGGGCTAACCCCATGATTTCTGGCTGTCCCCCATTGCGACAGCCCCCACTGGCAGTGTCCCATGCCCTGGTCAGGATGGTGCAGAGCCCCAGCCTGGCCTGTGGTGCCATGTTGGTTCAGGGGGCGGAGGGCTCCGAGGAGCAGCAGGAACTTGACTAGAATATGAATTCCAAAAGTATTATCTATTGTTTCAGAATTATTAAATCTGGGGGGAAAAAAAATTAAATTAAGGGTTGGAAGATGTCCATTTGGTTGAGCACTGCAGAAGGGTGGCAGCTGAGGGACCAGGGGTCCCTCCTTTCCTCAATCACTTTGGATGCAATGTCCCCATCACAAACATGGGTATTTTTCATGAGATTGTGTATATTGGACAGCATGTGCAGAGGGTGCAAATATGGGACCAAGCATGCCTGGACCCACGCCTTCTGCCAGCTCCTTCTGCCCTGACTCCTTCTCCGAGCAGTGGCTGGGAACCCAGCAGGGCTGAAGGGTTTGGCCAGAGGAGTCACCAGCCCCTTGGTGGCCACAGCTGCCTGACAACCCAAGCTGTGGGGCTGAGCAGAGTCGTGATGGGTCGCTTCTCACAGCCCAGGCACAGGGACCGGCTGGATGAGGCTGATCCCCCAGCAAGGGAGATGAGCAGGAGGACGGTGTGATTATGCTCCAAAATGGCTTTGGGCAAGATGCCTCACATGAGGTGGGGGGGCTTGAAAAATTGCTTGAGATGTGCAGCCAACC